TGATGCATATGTAATTTCGTTTTATTTTTTCAATTGAAATGTCATTTTCATTGTCAAAGATATGTATTTTACATTATCAATAACTTGAATTTTTACACGTTAAATCATCTTTCGAAAATATTAACTTGCGCTGGTATTTCTAGCTTCGCGATGATTTCCAAGAGTCTGTGGAAATGTCGACGTATTTGGTAGCTTTCGTGGTATGCGACTTCAAACGGATCTCCGAGTTAACGAAAAGAAATATTTCCGTAAGCGTTTACGCGGCAGAGGCGATGCTTCCTCAAGCAAAATACGCACTGACCACAGCTGTCCGTACGATGGATTACTTCGAATCTTTTTTTGGCGTGCACTATCCGTTGCCCAAACAAGGTACAGAGTCGAGCAGATTATATAATTTATAAACTAACAAACAAGATCATTAATTGATAAAAATTTGAGAAAAAAGAAAAAATTTACCTCACATCGCAACGCAAAATTTTTAACCAATTTACACTAAAAATGTTCAATTTCAAACATTCTATAGTACACTAACAATAAGTCTCGTAGCATCTAAAGTAAAATTAAATTGTTTAGACCAATATGAAAGAAGTTATGCCGTATTAAAACGTGCTCGAATACATTCGTGACCCACTGTAGTATCTTTTTAACGAAATACTTTGATTCATTTCTAACAGACTTAATAGCTATTCCTGACTTCGCCGCTGGGGCGATGGAAAACTGGGGCCTAATAACATACCGAGAAATGTCCATACTCTACGACCCAAAAGAGACATCGACTAATGCTCACGAATGGGTGGCCGTGGTCGTTGCCCACGAATTGGCCCACCAATGGTTTGGCAATCTGGTCACCATGAAATGGTGGAACGATTTGTGGCTGAACGAAGGTGCAGCCAGCTTTTTGGAGTACAAGGGAGTGAACCATATCTCGCCCGAGTGGAACATGATGGATCAGTTTATATTAGACAAAACTCAACCAGCCCTCGATCTCGACGCGTTAGCCAGCAGTCACCCTATAAGCGTCCCGGTAAAAGATCCCAACGAGATAGAGGCTATATTCGATGAAATCAGTTATAGTAAGGGCGCTTCGATCCTCAACATGCTTGAGGGCTTCTTGTGCGAGGACGTTCTCAAAAGCGGGCTGAACGAATACCTAAACTTGCACGCCTACGGGAACGCAGACACGAACGACCTTTGGGCGGTCTTTACCAAACACGCGAACAATACTTTTGACGTGAAAGTAGGTATACTGAATGCAGAATCCTTTAATCGTTAATAGCAGGACAGTAGATAAAATTAAAGATAGAATTTTATTAACGATGCCTAGGCTGTGAATTTTATGTTATTACACACTTACTGCACTTACATACCTATTTCATTTAATTACACTATGCTTCCAGGCTTCTAATGAGTTATCACTTGATTTCGTTGGCAGGCTATTATGGATACTTGGACTCAGCAAATGGGTTTCCCACTGATCACGATTACGCGCAACGGAAATACGATAACAGCAACTCAAAAGAGATTTCTAATTTCCCCGAGAGAAAACGATACAGACTTGTTGCGACCAAAGTCACCCTTTGACTACAAGTGGTACGTCCCGTTGAGCTACTACACAGACAAAGAACCGCGCAAGCTTCACAACGTGTGGATGAATTTAACCGATGGTAACATATATAGAACAATTATAACGAATATCCTTTCTACAATTATTTAGCAATGAACTTTTATCAAGAAACGTATTGAAAAATTTCATATGAAAAAAATTTCAATTAAATTTCAATTTAA